TCCCGTGGTGACTTCGGGATCCCGACGGATACATACTCTTTCATCGGTTCAGTCGAGTCAGACTCGAAGATCCGTTCCACGATGAACGCGTATCCTTACGTGAGTATAACGGATTCATTGACGTCGAGCGGCTTCAGACCCCGAAGCGTGTTTGGGACGTCGTATCGGATCCCGAGCGCTTCTGTCAAGAGCAGAATTGGCAGAAGAAATTCTGTTCGCGGAACTGGAACGGAATTACTCCTGATGACCGAGAGCAGCAATTTGATATCCATGGGACTAGTCTTGAATGAGTGGTTCTAAGCTGCGCGGGAAGTCTCCGTGATGAGCCGAGACCTGTTGAGCTGTTCTTCTCCAACAGCTTGCCAGCGGTTTGAGAGCGTGGAGAGCATGAGAGGACTGAGCGATGACTGACGGTACCGGGAGGGAGGATGTCGACGGGAAACGCTTCAAAATCATTGTGGAGTTCTGGATGTTCCTCTTACACCAGAAGTTATTGCATTTTGGGCCTGTTTATCCTTTTTCTGGCTGAATCGATTCCGGTCCAGTCCCATGAGTCGACCGGGGTCGAATTTTTGTTGGATGAAGAACGGCTGTAGAGATCAGATATCACAGGCATACTCGGAACAAAATTCTAGTCCTCTGTGGAGAATTTCGAGCTCTAAGTATGCCCGGGCAAAAGCGGATCATCAAGTACTCAGTCGATGTCCGCCTGATCACAGAGCGACATTCGATGGTTTTCGGAAGCCTGACCTTCCTCAGCGGGCTTACGACTATGTATACGTTCGTTCGCCCAAATCCATGCTGGACCGATACTCCAATCCTATATTCCCGCTGCAATTTTTCGCCCATGTCGCGGACTGTCGCACAACACTACGAGGATAGGCATTCGAGACGGAAGGGTAGCATGGCGTGGCGGGAGCTGAGCTCAAACCGAGTTCGATTCACCATTTACCGATCAATTACGGAACTGGCCACCCAATGCAGAAGGTGAAGTCGCTGGCTGGCTGGCGAGCGAGCGAGCGATCACGGGCGGATGGATTGGGGAAACAGGCCACTCTCAGATATGGGCCGGAGAACTCTACAAATATCCGTCCAGAGATCCACAGGAGATCGCCTAGCGTGAGGCCTAATTGGCACCGGAACGTTGCGGTACATTGAATTCGACGTCCTCTCACGTCGACGTACCCTCACCTGAGCACGAACTCGCGAACGAACGGAAGAGTCGATGTACGAACGAGTGAGCAAGCAAGTGAGCAGACAGGCAGCTCCGAACCTAGGTAGGCTGGACAAGTCCTCCACTTGTTTGTCCGCAGTCGACGCTTTGATTCGGTGAAGTTCGGCTCGTGTCCTACGTCTGGTTTGTTCCGTGGAAGCCGATAAGATGGACGGAGCTCTTCGAAATGGCGGTAGCAGCGCGCCTTGGTATGCCCACATGACGGTATGTCTCGCACGATTTGCAACGATTCGAACGTCGATCCATAGTCGCCGTTCATAGTGGATTAGGAATCGTTCTAACGAGGAATACGTTCCTTTATACATATATATGCTCATCCTTCCTCATCCTATCGCCAGACACTGCGAACGAGTACGAAGGTGAGCCTCCCGATTGCTGATCGTGGCATTGCTTGCTCCTCTTACACGTAGTCCATAGCCGATGCGCGGGGGAGAACTTTCAATACTCGGACCCGGAAAGAATTGTCATTGTGACTAAGAGCTCCGAGGAGTCTCAACTCCCTCCGCTGCTTCGAAGGGACTCACGCGTTCCCCCGGGGTTGCCTCACGTCGCATTAGAATCCGAGGACTGAGTACCGCACGGAGATGGGAACCGTAGCGCTCTGCGCAGATTGAACGAATGATTCCGAAGGCTAAACACACGAGCTTTTACCTTGGAATTTGTATTAATATTCAAACACACATTTTTTGGTTCCTTGAGTTCGAAGCCGGATGCTAGAGAAACGATCGAGTGACGTGTGAGAGCTAATCAACTTCCGATGATAGTAGACATACTATGCTGGTGTATTCCCCATCTGTTTCCTCCTGAAGAATAATATGTCCTAGACCGAGATCATAAGATGACCGATATTCCTATCGGAACAGCTATCGTAGGTGATCTTCACGTTGTCGTCTCTGAACTCATGGATGTTGAGTGAATCTGTTGTCCGCGTGGTAAATGAGTGATGTACGATTGTCCGTTACTTTATGCTGTATTGTCGATCAGATGGGCACTCGAGTGCGTTCGTCCAGTCTATATTCTTTCATTTACGGATCACGACGGCTCCCTACCTGAATTCCTCCTATCTACCTGTTCAATGAACACTCTCTACCTACCTCTCGGTCTCTACCTCTCCAGAGTTTAGTTCGTCCTCCCTGGCAAAATCCAGTCCTGACCATCCGAGACCAACCTGCATCCTGCAAAGCATGTTTCTCCCGTTCAATTTCTCGTTTTTTCTTTTTCCCGCGATTGCCCTTGCGAACTCAGAAGTGCAACTCCTCGAAACGACAGTGGGCCACCACCGCTACAACCGATGCTGTATCTGGAATCACTGTTTCAACCACCGCTTTGGCTGTCTCAGAGACCATTTTCCAGTGTACTGTTTTGACTTCCGAAAGTTTTCCTCACGAGATCGACAGCCAGCATCGGGCTGAGATCCAGCCACGAGAATCGCGGTCACTCCGAACCTCACTTCTCGCGTACGCTTTGACCATGGAAAGCTTCCGCCGCTGTCGCTCCTTTTTTTTCGCTGCTGCTATTGTTGTTCGATTCATCTCCGGTGAACTGGTTCATCCGGAGAAAGAAGAAAACTTGAGACCTTCTGCTCTCACTTTCTCTCCTCTAAATGAAGATGGATAAGCTAACTCCGACGGTGATGGTCGACCGATCGATCGATTGACTGATTGGTTGGTCTTGTTGCTGATGGTGATGATGGGGTCCTCGTCATGAAGGTGGTAGGCGACTCCTACTGGCTGGCTGACTGACTGACCGCTACTTGTGAACATTGATGGATGGCTATTCGGGGCGATGGGTACTGCTGAGGATTGCCGGGGGACAGAGAGTCGGAATACGGATAGAAGGGGTCTCCGTATCGATGCTGACGCGCCAAATTCCGTCGTCGGGGTTCGCTGTCGCTGAGAAAGCAGACGAAACCCCTCAGGAACAACCATAGCTGAAGGACAGACCCGCTCGAGTTGCCCGTCGACCCGTTTTTTGATTGACTGACTGACTGGTTATATTTAGATTGAGTTGAACGTTTGGCACGATGATCACCGCTGGCGTTGGTGACCGATCATGATCGATTGAAGAGCCGACGTGTTCTATAATTTCTCTTCCCAATTGTTGCACAGTGAGCAAGCTACCTGAATTACTCTTGATGGGTAATTTGTATACTCATCATCACGTTACTAGCCTAGAATTATTCTGGCTTCTTCATCTAGGACACTTTACGCGGACATTCTTCCGGCCGTGCCTTTTGAACCGAGACAACCCCCAGAGACTACTCGATTGGGACGCTTGCGGGGGAGACGGAACCAGTTTTTCCCCTGAGATTTCTCCCCATCTCGACTAAGTTGACGACTCTCAATTAGAGCTGACGAACGAATAAATGCTCGTCCTCGACGCTCTCTGAGGATTTTTTCGATCCCGCTCTTTCTATACATTTCCCCGAAGCGCGCGGAAATGGGAAATTTCGGACTCTTACCAGAGGTTTCCGTCTCCATTGTGAGCTCCCGGGGCAGATTCTTCGTTGGGACTGTGGTTGCAATCAATTCTATTGATGTCTTCACTGCTTCAGGAATTGTTCTCCATTTCTCGTGGTTTTCGGAACAGGAGAATGAAAAAAAATCGACTTCACCGCTAATTGGAGATTTTCTTTCCTTTCTTCCCGGGTTGGTCCAGAACTCGGCAACTTCGCTGCTCGGGCGCTCGGCGGGTCTCTATGGGAGCTCCTCATCTCGGCCTACGAGCCGACTTCAGGCGCTGACCGTTCCTGTAGGATCACTAGGCGGTCTAGGGTTAGGTGTTGGCGGCGTTAATGGCGGCGGTAGCATCGGCGGGTTGGGCGGCGGACTCAGCGGATTTGGCGTCGCCGCCGCTAGCGGTAGCATTAATTCTCTCGGGCTCGGTCCGCAACTTATTCCGGCTAGTACTGGTAGAACGTTCGGAGAAAATTCGGCACTATTCTCCGACGGGCTGAGGAAGCCTCTCACACTCAGCAGGCCCACGTCGGCGCTTGGCCGGGCGAGGCCCTCCTCGGCCCTAGGACATCCCTTGGGCACGAACAGCTCCTTGGCCTTGACTACGAATCAAAAGCAGACCAATCGCAATTCTTCCCTATCGAACGCGATCATCACACCACGACCAGCATCAGCCTTAGGAGATCCCTCATTCATGTCGAAGGTAACCCCCGGCCCTTTCTCGATGCGTCCCGCTCATCGAGGCGTATCGAGGGAGGCCGATCAAAAATCATCACGTACCATCACGACACCGACAAAAAGTCGTGGCCTACCTCACCGCGCTTGATGTGATGTATGCCTCAGTTTCGTTAGCATCCACCGGGTCAGCTGTTGGTAATCCCTCTCACGGTTCTTCGCAAATCTCTCAGGGCAGTCAAGTGCTTCCTCAAGACTTCTAGTCTACAAGTCCCGGTGCCCAGTCTTCGTTGCCCTTGGATTAATCTGACGAAAATCTAATTGAGATTATATTTCACTGTAGAGGATGTGCACTGAAAACCCTCGAACGAGACTGCAATTCAGAAGGGGGAGTCTCAGGGCGCTTTCCGATGCTGACCTTCTTCCCACCATCGATGGATAGACTCGATAAAGAGAAAATCATTTTTCTTCAAATTCTGATGTATCTGACTCCGCGCGGTCGCATCGTACTCGCTCATTCAAAGCCCAAGGGGAACGCGTAGTTCGATCACGTCACGCGCGATCCGTTAGCATGATAGAGCTTCGTCATCCATGATACAATGCTAATATCTATCTCTCTACTTGGCGACCCACAGAAGCAAACTGCACTGATCCGGCAACTGGAGGAAGAACTTCGCATCGCTCACATGCAGCGCAACCCTGACGCGGAGTTGCAGTCGCACCTCGACGCACTCTACGCAGAGAAAGAACACATGACCAAAGAGATATTCCTGCTAAGGGAGACCATCAAGGTAAGCGCCCCTAACTGCCGCTGTGGCTAGAAAATTCCTCCGTTTGGAATAGTCGGATTGTGAAAAGCCTCATCGACGGTCCGAGTAGGCCCTACTGTGAATGTCTCTGTGACTGTGAACCTCCGAAGCACATCCCGAGATATTATTGGGGATATTACTGATGATGTCCTCGACGGTGACAAAGTAAATTATGGAGTCGGTTACATCAAATACAGCCCATAAGGCGGAATTCTCCCAGACGGACGGCAGGACATCGAGTATAATTTCCCCACGGACTCGCAGACGGCTTGCCCCTCCTCGATGGATATCTCGTATGACTTCATTATTCACACATCCTTCATCGTCATTACACAACAGATATCGACGGCTAGAGTTTCGAGAACGGTGTTTGGCACGGCGTGGCATCCGGATTCTCAATTCGTTCGTTTCTGCACTGTCTCCAGACGGCGCGCCTCGCTCACTTCTCACGTCTCGATCGAACTTCGAACTCTGACCTAGCCTTGGCAATGTCAGGTGTGATCCGCGACAGACGATTTTTTCCATCGAAGCGAGCGCAAAACAGAAGCTCCCCAGTCTCGTTCATGACGCAAGTCCGCGGTGCGGACGATCGATGTCTCGAATCTCCGAGCTCGGCAGAGTGACGTAGGAGAACAACCGAGGCGAGGATCGGTTCCGTCGCTAAGCTGGCAACGGAATCTTCGCTGCGTCCGTGCCTGCGGGAAATGATTCTGTGATTCCGTCGCATCGTACTAAAATAGAGTTCTGTTTCTTTTTACGCTGTGAGCTCTGCGACGCTCGCGATTCGCATTCCGATCGGGTCCAAAAGTGTAGATATGTTGGTGTCAATCCAACGATGTACTTCGTTCCGATCCGGCGGGAAATCTCATCATCGTTATCAGCGTGATCTGCGCCATCATTATCGAGTTCAAGCATGAAATCGCGGAGTGTGCTCAGATGATATTGCGATAGACTATGCCATCAAGATCAGGAAGTCGGAACGTGACGACTGTCTCTGCTCACGCGGGAGGAAACGTTGAAGGTCTCGCGGGGAGAACTGAGCATGTCGACGATGCGGCGGACGCTGTGCCGGTGCCTTTTCGGATGCTGGTACCGCCGCCTTCAATCCGTTGAGAGAGTGAAGTCAAAGGTACAACATGGACCCCAGCGTAGTTCATGACCACCCAGCGTGACGTAACGTGCCCACAGCTGTGTAATGGACCCTACTCTATCCAGTTGGATCGGCAGTGATGCGACTATCACTCAAGTCGCGGCGTCTCCCTGTTGTTCCTGGTGAACCCTGCAGCTCCAACGTCTGCCCTGCTTCTTGACCTCCGTGCCTCCATCCTAGGGAGCGTGTCTCTGCATCGGACGCATTCCAGCATCAGACGCCTCCCTCTGATCGAGGCTATCTGCCTCATCAAGAAGCTTGTGGCATCCCTGTCGTGAAGGCAAGATTCTACCAGCGTCAGAGGAAGTATACTGATCTGCTCGGTGGACGAGAGGAAATGAGGAAGGAGCCAGACTTGGAGGGGACTTTCGAGGAGGCTGGTGAGGCAAGGTTCCGGGGACTCGGTGAGACAACATTATCATCGCGCATGGCTGGGGCGAACAATCAGGGAGTTTGACGGCTTTCCTTGCAAGACGACAGGTCCACTGGATGACGCACCTATCGTGTTCCGGTGAGCCGTATCGTCGGCTAGCCAGCTGTCTGCCCGCCTGCTCCTGATAGCAGCTTGTATAATTCTCCAGTGAAGCTCCACTCGCGGCGTCCGTCACCATTTAGAAACCGAGTCTCCGGAATCATGTCGGGCAGCAACGCAGCTTCGGGAGGACCGTGATAACTAAGTCGCAGCCTCCGGATAATATAAATTCGCAATGGAAGTCTTGAAGCAAGAAGACTGAAGGAACGCATGCTACATAATGATAAACTGGAGTCACTTGGAGACGAGAAAGGGTTTGCCCCGTGGGTAGACCTCTCCAGATTCTAGATGGACCTGGGTCGCTCTCGCACATTGAGCTCAGGAGGGAAACGAAACCTGCGGAGAACTGCGACGAAACCTGCAGACTGCGACGAAACCTGCATGGGACTGCGAATGGAATGCAATATATAGAGGGGGGATCTCAAACACGGGGTGATTTTCCCCTATACGCCGAATTTCCGAAGGGAACTCCCCGGCGCAGACTACTGAGAGGGTGACAGATCAACGAGCCTTCTCCTTCCGTGCATTCATCCATCCATTCCGAATTGCAGGAACTAGAACTTCGCATAGAGACACAGAAACAAACGCTGGCTGCGCGTGACGAAAGCATCAAAAAACTTATGGAAATGCTGCAGTCATCCAAGGGAGTCGGGTCTCAACTGCTCGACGAGCAGAGGATTGAGAACGAGCGCCTCCGGGGGAGGCTCATCGAGGCAGAAGCCCGCACTCGACACCTGGAATCTATGCTAGAAAATCTGAAGCGGGACCAGGATCGAGGTGACCTTGGAAAGAACCGACAGGTAAGTCATATTTTTGTGTGTGTTACTTTTCGTCATGTCGAGACTTCGTTCTCGGGTTCGGAATTGCCGAGTTCGGAACCGTCGGTGTCGCATCAACACGATGGTCCGGCTATCAATATCTGTTGAGGCTCCGAGTCGGCCATGCCGCCAGAGAGGCAGAGCCAGACGGAGAGCCCCGTATGCTCGTTTCATTCTGAATAATAAAAACGGCTAAAACGTTCCTCGTGAGGAAGAAGCGAATGTTTATGCTCGAAAGTCCGAGCCGACGATACGCTACTCGACAGTTCATCTACAGAACCGTAGAGTGTATCGCGGTGATGCATCTGAGATCAGCATCCGACCGGCACAGAGAGTAGATGACGGAAAAGATCGGAAGCGATCATCGAGTCATTTGGAAAAAGCAGAGGAAACCTGCAGAAGAAGAGAGCGCTCTGACCTACTTTGTTCAATATGAGCTTTCTCTACATTCTTCTCTCACTCGCGGAACTCCTGGAGTGGCTCCAAACTGAACAGGAAATGCCGGCTGCTGCTGCGCGCGGAGTGGAGGTTACAGCTGGGTGGAGTAGGCAGAACATAATTCACTCCCTATTCCGAGAGTCAGCGAGCCATCCCTGGATGTTGATGCGGTGGAGGCGAGGAGACTCGCAGTGCCGCGCGCAAAACAAGCTACATTCCTCACCGAAGCAAATGGTCCATTCCGTCGCGCATGTGCAAAACCTTGGCACGCATACTCCAATGTGTCATCGATTTTCGTTCCCGTTACTCTAGCGAACAAAACGACGCAGGATTAAGCATGAGAACATTTCAACTCATCTTTCCTGCTGTTTGTTTCGCAGTACATACAATATATCATATTTGAAGATTTCGACATTTTTGAGTAGCTTGAGTTCGATGTATTCCCCCGTTTCGATTCGTTTTCAATATCTTACCCTCTTATGCTTTATTTCATCATGTTTATCTCCCTAACCAGCAGATCCAAGACTCCTGGATCCCTGAGCTAGTCGACCAACAGACACAAACACCGAAGATTCGCCGACAGAGTGGGGTACGCGGAACTCCGTCCATTCGGGACCTTCGACCGTTGAAACAAGAAGTTATCATCGCGGAGAAAAACATCCAGGACCACATTGCGCTGCTCGAGTCCATTATCGAAACGAAGGTTTCCTTTTTTTGAATTATTAGCTCACTCTCCCTTCTGACCGCTCATCTGCTTCCTTCTCTCGAACCCTCTCTTCTCGTATCGACCGGGCTCTTCGGTTCTAAAAGAAAAGATATGCTATCGCCCATGAACGCGTACCCTGCGTGTCGATTCGACGAACTCCACTCATGCATGCACCGAGAGTTCACTCGAATTATCCCTATCGATATCAACAGGAGAACTTACACTCGGTAACTCCGGAGCGGATGCTACCTGACGTGTGGTGGGCGTCGTTCTTCTCTTCTTCATTCCTCGGCGTCTCCATTCCTATCTCTCTCCTTTTCCCTTCTGTCTTATTATAACTTCAATTCTCCCCGTCTCGTCGTCGCTTCTCTCTCTCTCTGATGTATCTGAGAAGTTTTTCTCACACGCTGTGGAGGTGACCAGTCGGGAAACTCCCCAGGGTCAAGGATAATAACACAGCCTGGTAGTGCCGATCGAACTGGCCGAAAGTCTCTAGGCGGGTACAACGTCAGCGAGAGGAGCAGCGGAGAGACGGGGAGGATAATTTTTAGAGATTTCTTTCCGCGTTGTTGACTCCTATCTGATGCAGGACGCCCGACTCCGCGCACTGGAGCATGAGCTCGAGCTCATGGCGACCAACACGGCTGTGAAGACCCTTTTTCTGGCGCATCATGGGAATTCACCTGAGGTCTCTGAATGCATTAAGAGTCTTCAGGAAGCGCGAAACGGCTTCGATGAAAACGCTGTTCCTGTGTTGTCTTGTAAATGTTCCTTCTTCATTCAGGTTTGTTTTGAGTTTGTTTCAGTCATTCGTTTCGTCTCTATTAAATCATATGTCCCGAGTCCTCCCCTTTTCCCAACTCGTGCTCAGACCATTCGAATCGGTTCAGTGGGGGATACGAGCTTCTCCGAGTCTCGTCAGAGTCGACGGTGTTCTCATGGGGAGAAATGGTTTCGAAACCGCGAAAATCTCTGACCCGGTGCCGGCCCGTCTCCTCCCCGTCCCGGCAGGAGCGCACGATGGCGACGCGCGCCGTCGCTCCGCCCGAGTCGCTGATTCGGGATTTCTTGTTTTCTTGGAGATTCTCGTCTGAAATCCCGCTTCTCGCTGAATTTCTTTCGTGGAAATCATTTTCTTCCTCCGACTAAAAGTGCCGATCCCAAGAGTTAAGCACCGTCCACCCACGGTCCGCATGGGAGATGGGATACCGGGCATCCCGCGTGTCGCTCACCGGCAAGGGATCGCCATCTGAAATCGAATTATGAGCTTGAGCACTAGCGTCTCTGGAGCGTGAATGCTCGCGGAGCGACACATGACGATGTCGCTTTGCATGGAGGAGCAAATATCCCGGAATGATCTCTTGGTCTCATCCGTATGAGCATGCTCCCAGAGGCAAACATCTGTCGAGCTCGCCGAATGTCCTCGGTCTCTCTCACTCTGAAAAAACAAGGAGGCAGGGAATCGCTTCTCCATTCAAGATATTCGGCCGACCGCCAATTCTTTAGACGACGGCTCCGGACGCTTAGACTACGGCTGGGAAGTCCGATCGCTTCAACCTCCCCCTTCTCAGGGTATTATCACCCGGGCCTTCCCCGAGCCTCGAAAGTCCGATTTCGGTGTCTTGCTGATATCCGCGTGGGCGGACTGAATTAGAAGCAAGCGAGTACCGAGCTGCAATATCTTTGGTCAAAGAAAGAGAGGGAGGCTACTGGACGACTTATATGTACACACCTGCGAAGATATATACAAACGTTTTTTCGCTCTGCGCCGCGATTTATTCTCAGTCGCTTCGCTAGCCGTGACACATCCGGTGCCCAGAAATGTTCTGGCTCTTTCATTCCGAATCATGCGGGATGTTCCGGGGAATTTCCTAGAATCCGAGCGATAGATTGACTCTGCGACGTGATCCTTCACGCAGACACCTTGTTCGCTGGGGAGGATTGATTCGGAGAGTTGAGTGTCCGTCATGATTTATACGCGTTGTCTCCGGATGCATTCTCTGCTCCATTCGCTGATGTTTGTCTTCGACAAGTCGGAGCCATCAGTCAAACGTATGTATTTTCGCACGCCATACGGGTTCTCGAATCGTATGTATGTATTCAACCCCGACGGCCCGAGTGCACGTCGCTCGCGGACGCTCCATGGACCCGTTCAATGCTACAACGTATCTGTGCCAACGTATCTGGGCTCACTGGCGGAGAGACCGAGTCATTGGTGACATTTGGAGGATATCGATCTCAAGCTACAGATCCGGATCCTTTGTGTCGGGTTCTCCGTGGTCCGGAAATAAAGCTGGTCAGAGCCAAGTGGGAGAGTGTTCAGACTGGATTAGCTACAGAGGAACGAAAGACTACCTGGATTCATTGATTTATAATACCCGACGAATCCCTCGAAGACGAGCAGCTCTATTTCTCCGAAAGAAAAAATGAGATTGATTCACCCGAGGACAAGACTAGACTAGATAGGGCTTGCAGATATTCTGACCTTCCGAAAAGCCGAAATGAAATCCAAACGATATACGCTCGGCGGGATTCGCGTCGAGGAAGAGGAATAAAATTGAATTTCTCATCTCTCATGGCCGTACAGGTGGAGGAGCTGCGACTCGAGTTGAACAAAAAAGATCAAGAGGTTCTGGCACTCGGAGCCAAGATGAAAACACTCGAAGAGCAGCACCAGGACTACCAACGGCATATAGCCGTCCTCAAGGAGTCTCTGTGCGCTAAAGAGGAGCACCAAAACATGCTGCAAGCTGACGTAAGTATTCTGCGCATCTCGTGATCCTCGAGAGTGAGCATCGAGATATCTTCCCCGTCTGGATGCTCGGGAGAGTATTCCCTCGTCCGAGAAATATTCAGCCCATTGAGCTCTCTCCTGGACCGCATTCGTTCCGAGTCGAATTGACGAGCGGGAGCTCCAGGGGAGCATGTAGAGATTTCTTCTTGGCTGGTTCCCACGAGCTTTCAGCTCCAGCCAGGAACAAAAAATTCACATGGGAGCAGGCTCCGAATATGGCTCCCAAGGAGAGGGATCAGGGAGACGCCCCTACCATGATATAGGGAGCGGGTCCTCAGGGGAGGAACTGTCCATAGATTTCTAGTGGTTCAAGCTAATTTTCCGACTCTAGGTTGAGGAGTTGCGTGCGCGTCTCGAGGAAAAGAACAAACTGATCGAAAAGAGGACTCAACAATCCATGGCCACAAACCAGGAACGCAGTCATCTCAATCAGGAACTTCAGGAACTTCGGGACCACATGGACATCAAGGATAGAAAGATCAACGTGCTACAACGGAAGATCGAGAACCTAGACGAACTCCTAAAAGAAAAAGACAATCAGCTAGATATGGCTAGAGCGCGCTTAACAGCCATCCAGGCACACCACTCCACGAACGAAGGAGCTCTGTCTGGTCTTGAAGAGGCTCTACAGGACAAAGAAAAGCAAATCGCACAGCTGCGGGTGCAACGAGATCGCGCCGAACAGGAACGCAATGAAGAACGCGAACTGCATGAACGCGAAATCGCTGAATACAAAATCCGGCTCCACTCCATCGAGTCCGATATGGAGAAATTACAGGTGGGTCCTTTCAGCGATAGTTCGCTCATTGATCGATGCATGCTCGCTCCGTATGTACGCACAGGCTCCTAGAGACGAAGTCCAAGTTTCCCCAAAGGTGGAAAAAACTCATCCCTTGTCGCGCTCAGAGGCTGCGCTTGCTCTGCCCCCGGGTCAGACCGTTCGCGCAAGGCTTCCGGAGCAAGCAGCGTGAAATAGCATGCTCGACAGACGAACCTACTGCAGGTCTCTACTTGGTCGAGTCCACTCCGGCCATCCCGTCACCGCTCTCGCTTCCCGGGGAAAGCTTAAAATCTGCTCGTCCAAGCGAAAAGAGGTTACGCGCCAACAAATTTGGCAACGTCTGTGTCGGAGCAGACGCACCTGCACGGCTTACGCGAACGGGCGAAGGGTGGAGGCGAAGCGAACTAGATGGAGGACATTTGATTCCTATCCGGAAAGAGGAGGAATCCACTCTTTTTTCTCTTCGTGAAGAGCTCTCGTTTCTTCGAGGTAATTTGGGAGC